AACCCTAAACCCCTTAACCCCTAAAACCTTAAACCCTCAACTCAAGCTAAAGGCCTTCAGCTCAAGCCTTGCAGCAACGAGCCCCTAAACCCTACCTTAACCTACCAAAACCTACTTTTGTGCAAGGTCCCTATAAATACCATATTAGGGTGTATAATAAGAACCTACGAAGAAGTAGAGTTGGGTAGTTTAAGGTAAACCCTAAACCCTAAACCCTAGACCGCCTCGAGAAAGCCACCCCGACTCGCAAATCCAGCTCCTCCGGCGGTTTCGGCTTTTTGGGTTGAGGGTTCCGGTTTAGGGTTCAGGGTTCAGGGTTTCGGGCTCCGGTTTTAGGGTTTAGGGTTTAGGGTTTAGGGTTTAGGGTTTAGGGTTTAGGCTTTAGGGTTTAGGCTTTAGGGTTTAGGGTTTAGGCATTTGGGTTTAGGGTTCGGGTTTCAGGTGGAGGGCTTAGGGCTCAAGGGTTTGAGGGTTTACGGCTTTAGCTTCGGGACTTTAGGATTACAGGGGTAGTTCGCCAAAGTAGGGTCCCTTTTTAAGTCCCGAAAATAGTACGGCACGCTTATAAAAAAAGGGGGCCCGAAAAGGGACCCGAATTTAGAGAACTGCCCATATACGTCAAGAGGGTGGTCAGCGTTGCTGTGTAGGACCTTTTTCGGCATCACGTTGAAGGGATTACAGGCTTCGATGGCAACTCCAACAAGTGAAAGCTTGCTAGGGTTTAGGGTTTAGGGTTTAGGGTTTAGGGTTTAGGGTTTAGGGCTTTAGGGGTTTAGGGTTTTAGGGGTTAGGGTTTAGGGGTTAAAATCTCAAGTGCCGATTCCAGCCTCCACGGCGGCCCTGGAAGTAGATCTCACGCCAGTGCTCCATGAGGTGAAAAGTAGCACGAACGGATCTAAAGCCCTAAGGTAAAGCCGTAAGGTTTTTTGAGCTAAAGCTCTAAGGTAATGGGCTTCGGGTAAGGCTGAAGGGCCTGGCGAAGGCTAACCTAAACCCTACCTAGAGGATCCTGGGAGTTAGTAAGGTTATAAGTACCCCAAATAGAAGTATAGCTACCTTACTTGGAGGTTCATGGGTAGTTATATGATGTTATATGTGGAGTTATAAGTCCACTAATATAGGTTATAACTATAGTTACCTTACTTATAACCCTACTTATAACTGCCCCTGAACCTCCAAGTACCTAAGAGCCTACTTACTGAGTCCACGGACCCTTTAAGCAAAAGAGTGTGAAGTAACCCGGCTCCTGCCGGGCATCGACGGAGAGTGCTTCGTCGCGGTTGGGCTGCGCAAGCTGCATCATTGCGGCCTCAAGTAGATGTTTAGGGTTTAGGGTTTCGGGTTTAGGGTTTCGGGTTTAGGGTTTCGGGTTTAGGGTTTTGCGTTCGGGTTTGGGTAATATAGGGGCCGTAATCATTAGAATAGGGTTTTGGGGCCCAGTATACTATAACTATACTAAGGAACCCCCAAAATAATATATTTTTTATTTCAGAAGGTGCAAAGCCCTCCGAGGGCGTACCTCATGCAGTCTGAATTCAAACGGTGAAACGGACAACAAGCGAAGCGGGCTCAGGCGACGACGCGGCCAGGTATTCTAGCCTATCGGTGAGCACCCCACCTCGCGCACGGCAAAACGGAAATGAAACGCTACAAGGAACCCCCTGCCGCGCCAACCCTAGGACAAGACCAAGCCATGCTAGAGCTTGCCGAATCCAAGCCAGCTGCATGCGCAGGCCACGCAACGGGCAGGAAGGAGGCAACCAGGCAACGTCAGCTTCAAGAGGAGGGGGCGGCAATCGAAGAGAACAACTGGATACTGAGCGCACATCAACCGTTGACAAGTCCACAAGCTCCCACGCATACACGAGGGCCGGTGGGCCAGAGGCATGGACAGGCCTTTTATCACCCACCAGAAGCTGGACCCCCTCACGCTGCACAGCAGGCGGAAACAGGGCAAGCAGCGGCTGGAAAGCAGCCCCTCCATTAGCATCTTTCGGGGCGAAAGATACACGTTCACACCACAAATCGGCCTGCAGGCCCAGCAGTGCGTCATTCGCCATGTCACACAAGGGACCGTCCTGCAAGCCGGAAATCCACTTTACCAGCGTGCTCCTCAGAACAGTCAATGGCTCAATCTCCTGTATGACAGCCTCGAAAATACTGGAGTCAGAGTCAAACGTCCCGCTATTAAGCCTTTCAAACAGTGGCCTGGACGTAAAGGCAAGGAACGGCGGAAGATGCTCAATTCCAATCCCACCATGTGCCACGCTTTGCGGGTGGTCCGAGCCCTGCAGAAAGACAGGAAAGAGCAGCTCAGTATGCCACTCTATGGCATTGCAACAGATCGGCGATGTCTGTAAGTGCCGCCTGTAGCGATCCAGGGTGTGAAGGAAAACCCCGCACGCCTGACAGCGAGTGCCGCTGGCAAAACGACGCGCACGAGAACGATACTTATGCACCTTAGCCGCATGCGCTGACCACGCGTGAAAGCCAGCAAACGCAACTTTACAAATAAGGCAAGCGTGCTCTGCCTCTGGGAGAGCCACAACGGGGGCCGGGAGCGGGTCCCAGTGACAGCGCTCAAAACCCTGCATTGAAGCGATCGCTGAAAGCCGTCCCAGGTGCCAGGCCACAGCCCGCTTTAACATGCCTTTCCACACGCCAGGCTGCTTGAAGATGCGGCACCAATCATCCCAAGCCTCATCAAACGGACCAGGGCTACCCGAGCCCTCTAAGGCCTCTAGGAGCCACCGCTCCGCCTCTCTGAGCGCCTGAAGCGCCCTAGGAGCCTGCTGCAGAAGCGCAAAGGCCTCGTCCGGGCCGGCCCTCACCAATTGGCCCAGGAAACGCAGCCTTTCAACTGCAAGCAGCCCCGCCAGGGGCAAAAGGCCTAGGGCAACATGAACCTGCTCCTTCGTCCAATTTTGTTCCACCGACCTAGGGATTCGCAGAACCTGCCGCACCATGGTGAAAAGCCCCGCATCAAGCCTGCCCCAACTAGCGGCACACAACCAGGGCCACGCACCGCTGCCCGCAAAGAGCACGCTAAGCACATGAATGCGGAACAACTCCACCCGCCGACCCAAGTGCAGCCTAGGAGAGCAGAAAACGTCGCGGCGGCCTTCACGGAAACAGACTCGCGCAGAATGCAAACGCCCCCTAATCTCAGGATCCATTGAACCATCATGCGCCAAGGTGGATCCCAGATGGCGGTACTGGCTGACAGCCTGCAACCAAACTCCCGGCCCATTGTCGCGGAGAATGGGCAGCTTGCCCCCTGACTGGGAGAAAACTCGTCTCCGAACCGCTCGGGAGCCTTCCCCAGCCGGGCAGACCATGGCCGCGGTTTTACGCGGACCGATGTTGGTCTTTAGCCCGTGCCCTGCGAGCGTGTCGATGGTCTGTCCAGCAACGCGCTGAACGGCACGGGGCAGGTCCTCAGCCTTTCTGGCCAGAAAGAGCGTGGCCAAGTCGTCAGCGTAAACAAGGTCCTGCGCTCTGACCGTACAGGAATTGCGACGCCGGGCGTCGAAGGGCCGCAGATCCCTGTGCCCATTCCATGGGATATCCGCCGGGAGGTAATCGGGTCCAAAGTCTCCCCTACGGTCCAGGACCTTCGCAAACAAAATGCTGTATAGGACATCAGCAATGCAGGAACCCGGTCGAGTTCCTCTTCGCGTAGCCACAACAGACACGTCTTCGTGCATGAGGAACCACGTGCTGTTGTGCAGCTCCCTCACCAGGGAAGCCAGGACCTCGCCGCCGTCATCCCCACACAGGACAGGGTCAGCCTCCACGTGCGCTTGCAGTACCTGCATGTCGTCGTCCGTGAGGTGCAAGGACTTAGCCACGTCCTGCAGCGACGAACCGTGAAAGTCTCCCCCTGCGATCAACTCTCTGACCACGGCATAGTACGCCGAACTGATGTCGGCAAACAAAATGGCTGCAGGTAATACACGCCTCCTTGCGTACTCGAGGAAAGACCTCGCGCAGAAGAACCCCATGACATAGCTGAGGCCACGCCTCCCTCCTATCATCAAGGGGGGGGCCCGCACATCGAGGGCCTGCACGGTCAGATGCCTAATGGACTTATGAAACACTTTTTCCAGCGCCGACTGGACGAGAATGGCCCGATGTGAGGAAAGAGCAGACGGGTCAGGAGCCCCCGGTTTGGGAATCCTATATAACGTGCCTCCTTTATATCCCACCGGCTCCGTCATGTGCGTAAGTGTTTTGAGCAGAACAGGGTAAAAGATGGTAGCCAAGGGCACTGCAAAGTGCCTGCAGATACCTGTAGGCAACCAATCAGGCCCACAAGCCTTGTTCGGGTTGACCTGACGGAAAGCCGACGCCAGCGCGCATAGATCCGGGATGATCTGCCAATCGAGAGCTTCAGAGCTTTCCTGCACACGTTGGAAGTCCAGGCACCGGGTCACAATTTGATGTGAGGAGGCGGGTGCACCACCCTCCAGTGAGGCAAAGTGTCGCCGCCATTCCAAAGTAATCTCCTCCTGCGACTTACATATTTTCCCGTCTGCCTTCCGAAGCCTTGGCAAAGGGGCCTGCGCCTGAGTACGAAACTTGCGAGGTCGCAAAAGGCGCTTGAGAGCACTATGAGTCTCGCCTTTTTTCGCAGCATCCAAGTCATCTGCCAGGCCATCAAGATAGACCCGCTTGTCTCTACGGCACAGGCGTTTAAGCTCCCGGCCGAGAAAACTGATGCGCTCGGCACAAATCGCTATTGAGAGCCGCAAGCGGCGCAACCAAGTGCCGCTGAACACCTCCTCGAAAGCCGTACCACCACGATACCAGCAGGCAAAGGCGCAGCGAAGTCTGGCCAGGTTCAGCGCGTGAACCCTATTTCGGTTAACATGCCGCAACCTCGCAACCACCGCATGCACTTGGCCCGTATCCGTGGCAAGGAAAGACTTACGCAACCTCCTGGCCTGTAACGGAAAAGCCCCCGACAAGGCCACATACAAATACTCCGACACTAGTGCGGCATGATCGTGCACACTTGTGTGCCAGTCAACGCGTGGCACTGAGTCAAGTATCTGGCGGATCTGCGGGGCATTTGCCGGGTCGCGCAACGCTGCGGGATCAATGCGCTTTGCCTTGGCTACACCTGCAGTCCTATTGAAGGTCAAGTGGCACTCCACCAGCAAGGCAAAGTGATCGGGAACTGCATGTCCCGCCGTGATGCCAGGCTCCACTGCGGCACGGCAGTACCACTGCCGCCATCGACAGGGTAAGCCAACATAATCGCTCCTCTGCAGCTCACAGGACTGCTTTTGATACAGGGTGCCTCCCTGCCCAGACATCACGTCCGGAAACGTACTAGGAATCCATACCTTCAGGTCCTGAAGTAACCCGTGCATACAGAGCCCTGCGTCGTCTTGTGCGTCAGCTTGGTGCGACCCGATACTGGCAGATGTTTGGCTCCCTATTCTACAATTCCCGTCTAACAAGAAGACCCACTCACAATCGTCCTGTACCTCGCGACACATAGCAGCCGTGCGGGCCCACCAGCTGCGCCTTACCTCGGCCGAGTGCCCCCTATGTGGTGCGTGCCCGACCACAACCAGGAGCTGGAGGTGGTGAAACACCACCCTCGCAAAGAGCCTTGTGGGGTCACTACGTAGTATGGCAGTGCGGCACTTGGGAAAGTCCGGGCCTTGCCGTATCCAAAGCTCTACACCAAGCCCTTTTCTAGCGGTAGCACCGGAACTAAACCGTACAAAGTCAGCAGTAGTGAAGCTGCCCTCTGGCGTCCGGGCCTCCTGCACTCCTGCCATGAAGACAGAATGCTCGGCCAGCGAGCGGCTCAACAAGGTCACTCTGCCAGTTGCCCCATGCAAACCTGCCTGACCTCCCTCGGGACTTTGTTCGGCAGAGAGTAGGGAGAGGGCATTGAAGGTAACAACCCGGCAGCAAAAGGAATCGGTCCTGCCAGAAGAAACGGCCGCCCGACCTGACAGCGCCCGTGTGAAAGGCCTCATCAGCTGCTCTGCACTGAGAAGGGGCTCTACGAACTGCCGATCCCACGAAAAGAAGCTATCAGTCGTCTTAGGCAGCTGAGTGGGCGCAATCGCATGGAAGCAAAAATGAGGTAGCCACCTGGCTGCTCCCGAATGGTTCCTTTGCCAGAAGGCGGTACGCATTTGGAAAGGCGCACGAGCCGCTGTCAGCTCAGCCCCCTTCTTCGCTAGCCCGTCGGCCAGCTCATTAGCCTGGTCCCCATGATGTCCGAGGACATGCTGGTACCCTACCCCCTTTTCTAACAGGACTTGGGCGGCCAAATGGAAGCAC